AACTGTTTCATAATTTTTGGACTTTTTCCGAGTTCCAGAATGCGAAAGAAAACAATCGATTCCTCCCTCTCACTTTGCCAGTCAGCAATATTTAATTAATTTTAAATAATTATTTGATTTCTTGTAATAGTTGTAGTATTTTATTTTTGGAATAAATACAATATCGGTATGAGTGATAATAAGAAATCCAGAAAATGTTGCCAGCTTAAGACGTAAAACTTATATATATATATATATATATATATATATATATATATATATATATATATATGTGTGTGTGTGTGTGTGTGTGTGTGTGTGTGTGTGTGTGTGTATTAACAATTTTATTTTCAGTGAAATTAAATAAATAAATTTTAAAACATGCGATAAAAGAAGTAAGATATACTATGACATAATACAATGTAAGAATCGTACAGAAGGGCAAAAATCACATTTTTTAATATATGTTTTGTTAAAATGATATTATATTGAAGTAAGTGTTTCAAGTTTAGAAAAGGTACGTTCTCATTTAGACTTCATTTGTACCTATGAAGTTTAAGAATTTTTGGGTCATTCCACGTCAAATCGCACAAATTTAGAGAAAATATGACCTTGATGTAACAGATTTTTAAACTTTTTCTGTAAAGAATATAAGCAAAAATATGAAACACGTGTTTTTCATTTTTTCTCGGTTAGTTTTTTGAGATTATATTAAATTTCAAAAGTTTCGATAAAATGCTCGCATCGCTAATGTTAATCATTTTTAACTCCTCTTGTAATGTAACATAAATTTAATATTTAAAAGAACAAAAGTCTATATAATATTTTAAAGATCAAAGTCTCTCTTTCATTTGATGTATGTATTGAATTAATTAAATTTCTTCAAAATAATTTTTGACCTATTTTATTTTTCTTGCAAGGTGAAATTTCGCGGTCAGTTTGTTCATTACTCGTATCAGGTGACTCGTTAGTGTGACCAAGACCAGCAGTGCAACTTATTCATCATTCTCACTGTCCAACATATTTGCGGCATTAATAAGTATGAACGAGCGAAGATACTTCACTTGAATTGTAACGAGAAGGAATTTTTAAACTATTTGTTCCAATAATTTAACTTTTTTCACGACAGTCAATTTTCAACTTCTGAAGAATGCTGGTTGTAATAACCTAAATGTACACTTCTGCTTCAATTATAGATTTACATATTAAGAAAATGCAAATAACAGTAGTACTGATATTATTGTAGCTCTATCTGTATTACTAACTTCACAGAACAACGCACATGTTTCGCGTATTCCTCTGTTTTCACAACTGCCTCAGTATATGTGAGAAAGAAGGCTGCTCTGTTACAGACAGACCCTACAGTGTTAGTTGTTTATAAATAAACTTAATAGTCAAATTTCGTCAGAAGTCTTCCATATGAGACCGTATGTGTGTTTCTGCGATTTATAGCGACACAACTCTCACTGTTGCATTATGTTTGGACGTCACGATGCGCCGTGTCATTGACACCCCAAGTACCGAGTCCGGCGGTAAGAGGGCTGCCTACATGCGCCGATGAACGAACTGTGTAGAAATACTGAGTACTTTTTATAATTAATTTAAGTATTGACCTAAAGTAAATATTTGCAATTTGAAAATTAAAATATATTTTAAATATTTAAATAACATTTTAACAGAAATTATATTTACATCACATGAAAGTATATCTTTTTATGTTAAATTTAAGTGTAATTTTATTTTTTTCATAAAACGGTATTTGTGTAAAGAAATTGTGAACATTAGCGCGCGCATGATTCTTCGGAAAAAGTAAATGGTAATATTTCGGAAAGGGATAGGATTAGAAGAAAAGAAAAAATACTTATCACCGATTTTCAACCTTAGAAATCATAAACAAATTTTCAGTTCGCTAAAAAATAGTGAAGTTTTTTGAGTGTGCGATTGGACGTCGAATGATTCATTTGATGAAAAACAACTATTTATGAAAAAATTATAGCCATCAAAAGTAATGTAATATGTAGGTGGATAGGCAAAATTACTTGATGACATAAACATGAATTAGTCAACAAGAACACATGCAAAGGAAATGTTTTCTTGCAAAAAGTGAAACAATGAGACATATTTTCATGTTTCTCACTATCTTGTAGATCACTTATTGATCATTAAAGTATTTGTAATACATCAACTATTTGAAATGTAATTATTTTATATTCTCGCCCTTACTTCATAACAAGAGAAAGTATTGTAATGATGCGCTTGAAAACTGGGAACTGGGAAAGGGATGGTTTCAAAGCTGGCGCTCGTCCCGTTTTCGGCAAACTCTCTATTTTCGAAAATTGCAAAACGCTAGCATTGCAAAAGTACAGCATTGAAGATATTTTTGTCTTAAAAGAAATTTGATGTAAAAGAGTAGGCCAAAAAGTCATGTAAAATTGAAAAGAACGATGCAGGTCTAATTTTCGTGGATGTCTCTAAATTTTCGAAAATTGAAAAAAGTTAGTTATTAATGCGAGAAAGTATGTACTGTTGTAGAACCACTAGTTTGTGTTTCGTTTAACAATTTCGTTTTCATCCTCTTCATTTACAAATTCTGAAATTCGTGTGTAAAGTGTTCGTGTGTAAAGACACCGTTCGGCACCGCTCGGCACCGCTCGGCACCGCTCGGCACCGCTCGGCACCGCTCGGCACCGCTCGGCACCGCTCGGCACGGCTAAGCGAGTCACCCATTTACAACGGAGGACTCGGCACGTTCCTGCACTGGGCGCCACTTTTTAAAAAAAAAATTCTGTCACCATTTTGGGACAACGTTCTCAAGCATATGTGACGTCGAACGCACACTAGCTCTTATGGGCTTTTAATTGGAGTAATCCTCCGTTTCTAGCTGCCCTCTAGGGGTCACTGAGTAGTCGTCGTCACGTCAGTCACAGTCAAGTCAGGGAATCGTTGAAAGGAAGCCCCTTCGAGGTTGCGTCTCGCATGCGCCCTGCGTCATCCACATCAAATTGGGAAGGAATAAGGATGGGGTAAGGTTTAGGACGCTTGACAAGGGTTGGACTAGCACCTGTGAAGCATGCTGACTCGTTTTGTCGTAGCTAATTTCACATGAGGTTCTACGGGAATTGAACCTGGAACCTCAGTGCTGAAATGCAAGGGATTGCCCCTGAACGACGAGAGCCTCTTGTTTGAGAAGCTATGAATAGAAACTGATGATAAAATTGATATTTCCGTTGATGAACTGATTATCTTAGTTGCGGATAGATATATTGGTTGATTATTTGTGATTCGGTGCGTCAATTGCTAAGGTCATTACTCCCATAAGTGTAGTGCATATTTTGGGAAGTGTCGGTGATCTTTGCCCGCTGGAAGGCGAGATCCGGCGCTGACCTACCTCCATACAACCCTAGGACCTCCCGGTCAGAGGCACTGCAGGGACGTTAGTTGATGTTCTGAGACACCTCTCCCGCTATTCGATGCGGAGAAAGATGAGAGGAGGGAGGAGGACAATGTAACTAGCGGAATCACAACTACTGTGAACAATAATGTCCGAAACCGTCAGGTTCTTTTCTAAAACTAAAACAATCCAATTGATTATTCTCAATTTCATGTTCTACAAATTTTAAAGTTTTTTTTAAGTTTAAGGGGTTCTCTATATGAAGCTGGTGCCATATTTTCAATATTATCTCAATTTGTGTCCCAAAAGTTTATTTTTATTGTTTTTTATTTTGTTGTATCTTTAACTTTATTGTTCGAATATTTACAGGTCAGTTCGCTTGTACGGCACGAGACCGATAAGATAGAAAAAGCCCAATTTTATCAAAACCGCTGAATTTTCGAAAATAGCAAACGTCTAACCCGGCCTAGTATTAGAGTGTTAGAGATTTAACTCTCGCGCGGTCCGTTCCACTGCCGTGGGGGACCGGGCCAAGCCGCCCGTTGGCAGTGGGTAGCACGCGCAACATTTCGGCCGGTACTGCGCCTGGCCGCGCCGGCCGGTGGACGGGCGCCCTTCGTAAGGCGGCGCTGTTTGGCTCCGTTGCAGTCCCGCACTTGCCCGAGGACGCGAGCTACGTGTTCCAAGTGGTGGCGACGGCGCACGACAACTCGGCGTGGGCGAGCGAGAAGGTGGCGCTGCACGTGGCGGGGTCGCGCCGCATGCGCGCGCTGGCGCTGGGCGTGGCCGCGGGCGCCGCCTTCCTCGCCCTGGCCGCCGCCGCCGGCTGGTACGCGCGCCGCGCCTTCCAGCGCCGCGCCGCGCGCGCCAAGGAGGACGGCTACTAGGCCCCGCCCACGCAGCTGCCTGGCCACGGGGGCGCCGCCGCAGCGATCTTCATCTCACGTCGCTCTCTCCAGTCCCCAGCTGTCGGTTCCTCCTAGTAGTGGCCTTTGGAAACGACTCGCCATTTACTTCGCGTTTGTGTATTATCGATCTCGAATCCCTGTCCTGCGCCGCCGTCGTGTCTCCTCTGCTCTCCGTGGAGCCGACCCGGCAGGTGAGTGGCGCAGGTGGAGGGACAATTCGCCCGAAAGACTTGTGAAGGAAGCCCCGCGGCTGCCGGCGTTGCTCACGGCCAGGCCGGCATCCGCCCCCCGGACGTCGTCCCATACGCCGCCCCACACGCCGCCCCACACGCCACTTCGCGAGCGGAGCTCCCAACTTTTCTCGCGGTCGTCCCGCGCAAGCGAAAACGTGCTGCGCTCTATGCCAAAACATTCCCAACATCCATTGATGGCAATTTGCCACGTGCCAGAAACGATACTGCTTGGCGACGGTTCTTTTTCACCATGCTCGTCGCTCTCCGGAGAGAGCATGTCGCAATTTGATTCAGCGCACGTGACCCGCCAATGCGAGATCACATTACCCAAACTTTGTAGATAAATGTGTTTTCTTGCCAAGGTCTGTTTGCAACGCAAACGTCACTTCAGACTGTTCAACGAAAAAAAGTAAAATAAACTCGCGGATTAGAGTCTCCAAATGCAGCACTGATGAACCTGTGATTACGACATTCAAGACTGTTAATCATATGGTTCTTTGGGGTACATTGTAGCGAGAATTTGCATACTTCGCTGTTTCAAGCTTATGTGAGCTTTCACACTCGGTGACAACGTTAAGTTCAAGGCCATCGGTGGCATGGGCGTCTCCTGCTGCGCGCATGCCGCTTGGTCACTTAAACTACCATCCATGAATGGACATTTTTAATGTGTTGTGTAAATACCTATAACATGCTCTTCACTGATATGGAGGAAGACTTGAAGAAGAAGAAGAAGAAGAAGAAGAAGTGGAAGTGGAAGAAGAAGTGGAAGTGGAAGTGGAAGAAGAAGAAGAGCTTTGGAGCTTAAATGTTCCATCATTGTGGCATCATAATTTCACCGTAAGTGCCATCTAACTAATGAAATAAAGAACGGACATATTTTTGACACTAATCAATCACGAAGAATCTGGTAATTCTTTGACAATATGATGACAATAATACTATTGTGACTCGCTCTACAATGGTAAAGTTTAATGATTCTATTGAACACAAACATTATGCTAATATGTCAAATTTATATTTTAAGTTTAAAGCAAAGAAGAACAAGAATTGTAATGTCAGATATTCATTCGTTATAATAATACCAAAAAATAAGATTATTTAGAGCAAACAATAAGAATCTTAAAGAATTCGACAGAGATAATTACTAATTTACTCAATCAATGTAAAATCCTAGCACATCACACAATAGAATTTACATGCTGAATTGAGAGAAAAGTGTTATCTCTCAAATCAGAACCCATGAAACTCACTAAAACCGGTGACATTTTCATATTCAAATCTTCATTCTAACTTACCAACTTCTGGTAAAATACATTCAAATTTATTATATGTGGTATTAATAAGATATTACGTACTACTGAAATTCATTTGCTATGTAATTACATTTGATGGACAATTCGTTTATAAATTATTTTGAATATTTACGATATATATTACGATTTGTAATTATTCACAGAGTCCTTTATGTCTCAATTCATGTAAACTTCTATTTATTTTTCCTTAATGTCATATTGTATGCACAAATTAAAATCCTGATAATTAAAAATATATCAACTCTACTTGTGTCCACAGATATCATAAAACTATTAAAAGCACTCGATATGAAAGCTTTGCCTCAATTTAAAATTTTGCTTCTATTGTATGTTGAAAAAATCATATGTTTTAAGTATTTGTCTTAAATGTTAAGGAAGAATCGTGGCAGTAAACAGCACACTTACTTTGAAATTACAATCGGTCTGGTTATTTATTTCCATCTACCTAAATATTCTAGTCCTCTACTCTTCAAAGAATTTAATTTGTTTTTCATGTAGAAAATTACCGTGAAAATGTTAGTGATTTTTCGCATAATCGAAGTTTGCGGACATCTTCGAGAGGAGGAAAAATATGTATAATAAATTTAAAAATATTATCTCTAAAAGACAAAAAAGGTTTTTTCAAAAATTCATTCAGATATTTGTTTAAAATTGTAGTTTCGAAACCAAACTTGAATTCTAATGAGTACACACAACCTGCTCTTTACTTTTGTACTTGTTTCTCAGTAACATGCAGTATTATAAACTTCACTGGCTTGAGTTGACAAGAGTTGCCTTCTCGGTTGAGCCTATTGAGTTGAGACGAGCTAGCACATGCTATGGCGGCCCCTCGTTCAGCACATGCTATGGCGGCCCCTCGTTTTGGTTCTGAATATACTTGCAGTCTCACTATAGGCGATATTTTCTTCAGCTCAGAGGGGAATATACTCGTAGTTATTCAAATATTCCTCCTCCACGTTCTCTCGGCAGTAAAGTCGATTCCTTCATGCAAGGCACAATAAGGAAAATTGCCAAAATCTGTACAACATTTATAATGACAAACATTCACATAAGATTTTCTCCTGCATTAAAAAAATGCGAAATTTTATGTACAATACTTAATTCCAAGGAGTAATGTTTCGAAAGATGATTTTTCTTGAAATGATAGAACATTGGATTGAATATAATTTTTAATTTTGTGATACACTTTTACGTGGTAAAATATCAAAATTGTCCATTTTATATCAACTAGCATATTGACTAGTTTAATACTTCATGTCAACGAAAACCGTTTCCTTGATGTTTGTTCAATAGTACTACCGTGAAAATTTCATATTTTCTCTATCACCCCTTTACTATTTCACCATCTTTTATCTCCTTCATTTTTATACCACATAACTGAATATTCCTTCGAACTTTCACCTCTATCGATCGGAAGCGAAACGACAACCTCGCGACACCTGGGAGTCACCACCACGAATTAGCATTTAGATACACTGAATGTTTGAAAAAATTCAGTTTAAAAATTTATTCGCATCAATACTTTATACTTTCATTCTTTACTTCTAAAAAAATAACAGGGGTATTTATTTTGAATTAATAATAGATCACAAAAGAGGTTTGGGGTATGCTAACAGTTATCTTCAGACACTTGCCATTTTGCTCAGTTTGTACCAAAAAAACCACAACAAAAGAACACCATATGAAAATTATAAATCACAGAGATGATGTATTTGGATTGTCCCTTATTGAGGGAAGCATTTTAAAGTTATTTAGAATATGTATTGGTGGTTAAAAACGAATATTATTTCAATGGTTTCACGGATATATCCGTTGTTTAATAATAATCCCGTTCTTCTATAGACTATTGGAAGTAAGTCAAAGGCGTATGAGTAACACATCAGTAACACGTATTTGTGTACTGAACATTTTCATTACCAAAAATAAGTATTAATGTACAAGCAGCTGATGCATTTGAAACATAACGTACAGACAAATGGTACGAAGTGCAGACGTAAGTGAATTAAATTTAAATAGAAATCCAATTCCGAATTCGTTTCGCGAATTGCTCAGATTTCTTATTCAATTTATGGAATTTTTTAAATAATTCCTTTCTAAACTTCGATATTGACTCGTGCATATTTTCTTCTTCAGAAAAACGATTCTAATAGTACTCCTTGACTGATTGATGCCAACGATTTTTCCTGTATAAATAATTTCACGCAAATGAGACATTACGCAAGGACAATAGTGCTACTAACACGCTTTCTACCTTGCCTCTTGTTGAATAATACTAATTATAATATAGGTAGACAATTTTTTTAGGGAACAACTTATAAATCAATAAATGCTCCTTTTTTCCATATGTGGGTATTCATTAGGCAATGCAGACACTCGTATGTATTATTGCATTTATGGAAAGTATACATGACTGGTATGTACATCGGTATTGAATTTTTTCGTTCCTAAAAATATCAATTGCAAATTTACCTCTTTACGTTTTCACTTGTTTGAATGTGGAGGCTCAATAAAAGGATAAATTATTCCAATCACATATGGAAGAAGATAAATCATTATTAACGTAACACAATTTTATAACAATAGATATGTTTTGATCTTGTAGTAATTTTTGTTAAGTGTGTATTCTTTACAGCAGGTAGTTTATGAAGTACCTTTAAACTAGTCTAATTTGTGTAGCTTTAAATTTGTTGAAGAGAAATGTACAAAGATGTTAAAAAGAAATATATTTTGCACTCATATAATTTATTGAATATTAATTACCAACAATATGTAATGATTGAATTTAAATAATTCCTAAAATGTCCTATTCTGCATATCTTTCCTAACAGAGTATTCTACTCCTACATTTTTTACAGTTTGTAGCAATTATATTCCTTTCACTGTGGAGAAGAAACAAGTACCATAAATCTCGTATCATCGCATAGGAGTTCTCTAAACTATACTTATTGAATAAATTCATAGTGACCATAAATGAAGTCGTATCAATGTAATATCAACAGCTTGATTACTTTAGAGCAATGATATGACATGTTTGAGTCTGTTGAACAAGTAATTATCTACTATTTTTATTATGTGCAATCGTCTAGGAAAGTTAGACAATACTCCCCAGATTCCTTTTTGGTATAAACGTTCCGGTAGGACGATTATAATTTCATATTCAAATTTTGTAGACTATCGTGCGTAGTCGTCGTGTGCAGTTTTCTCGTACTAAAATAGGCGGTCGTTTGATGGATCACCAATCTTCCGAGAATTGGTAAGTAGTATTTTTTGGAAGTTATTTTTTTTTCAAAAAAATCCATGCAAGAAATCGAAGCTCCCCCATCCCTTGGGTGAATTTTACATGGATGATCCCCCGGCAAATGATTCGTTGTCAGAAAATTTATTGTACTTGGGAAGTTTTCTCTTTACAATTGTCGACAATCATTAATACTATCCACACAAAGAAGTATGTCCTTGAGAAGATCTCTTACATTGTATATTAAAATTAAGCATAGAACTTTCTCAACCATAATCACGTCTGATTATGCCTATTTTAAATCTGCCTGTACTGCGCCAGACATGAAAATTATTGTCCCCACAATCATAGAATCATTATTTGTTTTATTTTAGGTTGCCTACAAAAGCAATTAAGATTAGAAGTGACCTCAGCAATTCATATTATTTGACTTTTTAATATGTAATTTTGAATAAATGTACAATAATAAAATAATTATTTACTTCATAAACTACTTGACAAATGGGTCAAATATGGTAGCGTGCAAAATATCTGAGAATCCTGACACATTTCTAAGTTTTCTCTAAATAAAAATAATGGTGCAACATCAACATATATTTTCTCGCATTATTTGCAACGGTTAGTGGAAACTATTCCACTTTACTTTAATTCATCTTGAAAAACAGTCTCTAGTAGACTTACTTTCACTTGAGTTGTCAACTACTCGCCAACGAAATTGAGATTGATTGGTGACACCCCGTTGTGAAAAATAGGTTAGTTTTGGTGAAAGATTATATTGAACTATTCATTTTTTATTTCGAAATATAAAATTTACTTGCCGTAATCGACTAAGTTAACAGAGACCACCAACTGATGGCACTGCTGCGATTTCGACCAGGATACCAAAGGGTTCGAGTTACCATAGGGGCGGATTTTCGACGCTAAATAGACTGCTAATTCGAATTCTGACACTATCTGGAGAAGAATTCCAGTGACCGGCTGCTCTGATCGGTGGTTCCAAGAAGAAGGAATAATTTCGAATGAATAATCTTGATACTTCGGACTTTAAACGAATGAAGTTGACATTAGCCAACACGAAGTAGCTAGGGACGGTGAAGTACGTTTACGTGCCTCTGGCTGAGTAGTCCTATAGCAACACAACTACGTCGAATTCAGCCACTGTCTGGAGGAGAATTCTAGCGGCCAGCTGCTCTGATTGGTAGCTTTCCGTGATTTCTCCGATCAGCACCAGGCGAATGGCGGAAGAGTACCCTAACAAACGGGCCACTGACCTAGAGAAATCTGCCCTTCTTAATCCTTGTCCTATTCTCACCCATTACACTTTACATGCGCTAACATTACACATGTCGGGAGACCAGTCAGGGACTTACAGATGGTTCCTGCTGGGGCGGGGCCCCGCTGAAGGGAGATACTTGGTTAGGAAAAAAACCCAATTCGGCGTGCAGGTCAGTGAATGATTTCAGATTCCAGGGGAAGATTACCATCACCACCTCCCGTGATAAAACATGCACTACATTTAGGGACTAATGACCATAGCAGTTGACGCTCCCGGAAACACGAAATAATCAGTCAATGAGGTACGTTGCGGTTACGAGGAATAGCAAATACCTGTTAAATATGTATCAGGCTGTGGAAAGTGTGGAAAGTATGTGAGAGACAAGGGGTGTAGTTTTGAATTCCAGTGTCAATGGTAAATTCGTATTTCCACGATACCACGAAACCCCATCTCACTGTGACTCAACCGATGCTTTGCTACACATTTCCAAGTTGGTGTCGAAGCACGGAACTTCGCCCTCCAATTTTATTCGACAAGTCTGTGTAACACATACTTTTCAACGCCTTTTTGCGCCAAAATATTCTCGCGGGCATAGAAGGAGCCGCGCACTCGGTCTACCACATTACTTTAGTCAGCGCCGTAAGACCGATACCAATATGAGGCAGAAGGGATCTAAAATGATCCGTTCATCGTTATTCATTGTCTGCCTGAAGTGCGATTTAACCGCAAGTCCTCTTAACATTAACCATATTCTGGTCTTCAGCCATGACCAGTTGAGAAAGAGTTTCGGAGTGAGCAAGGGCAGAGTTCAGAGGAGGTAGAGGAAAAGATTTTTGTAATGGACCCTGGCTCTAAGGAGCTGTCGTGTGTCAAAATGTGCTGGCGTGCCCCTGCAAGGACGGCACGCCGTCTAATTCTGATGTCGATCGGGTATCTACTATTTCAGGCTGACCTGAATCAGACTTATATTAACTGAATCTTCTTCTTTCTTCTGGCTCTTTCCAACCGACAGCCGAATACCCTTTGCGTCGCAATGGGACGCATATTTGACCATACACAAGACATTTTCACACTTTGCAGGCTCCTCTGATCTGTGGTCAGCAAACGCGAAGCCCTCCGCGACGACATATACACAAGAGACAAGGTACACTCTTGGAGAATGCGCCGAGAATGCCTTGGCCCGAGAGGTACCCTGCTTGCCGACAGCGCTATCTAACGTTTATTTCCGAAACTGCGTTCTGTACATCGAACTATGAATATGAAATTTATTTTATTGGAGAGCATATAAAAAACTTTAACATCCATTGAGTGCTAAATAGTATTAGTAGTACAGAGGAAAAATACTTCCGTGATTCCTGTCCATGACTCTGAATTGACATTAACTTATATAAACGTAATGTTCCTTTCAAGTTTCATTAATACAAAATGTAAATAAGAGGAGCATCGGAAGAGCGAAGGAATCGCTCAGTGTCAAAGTGTAATTATAAAACTCGTTGAATGGCGTGTTCGATTCTCAGTCCTCGTAGATATGTTATCCACTCTACAGTGCTTTAAAATCCACTAAATTACAACATCCTACATTTCTCTTGACAATTTTCAGCATTAAGTGGCAACAATTTTAAGCATCATTATTAGTGACAATCATACTGTTCTTATACATTTAACTGTTTAACATTTTGAAAATCTTCCACAAATGTCTCCAAATTTTTTGATTAAATTTTATCCTCGGATAGTAAAGAGAACGCTTAATTGAAAGGCACAGGTCCCAATTTCGTCAAACACTCAGAATTTTCGAAAAATTGCGACAAATTAACATCGTGAAAGTGCAATATTGAAAATAGCGATTGTCTTAAATGTAACCTTCACCTAGTGGTACAGCATCTACTTTCTTTCGTCAGTAATATTTACTATTAAAATTTACATTATTGAAATAATAATATCGCTATTTTGGCCCATATTAGCACATCCCAGATTTCACTTCTGAACTCATAACAATAGTGAGCATTAACAATAACAAATAATTCATTTAAAGGTAATACAACAACATAAATTCGACAATACAAAACTACTTTCCCTATTCGTACGTAGAAGTATCACTCAACACTGAGAATCTAGTCTGAGAGTGTCAAACTACCGTGATACGGCGTTCTGTTGTTGCATTCCAAATGATAATGTATGAAAGATTCCAGCAAAAGGAGTCCGGGAAATTCAAATTTTGAATTCGGAAAACTAAAGTACAACAATTTTTTTAAAATGAATCTGATAGTTTTAAAAGATCTGATTCTTTAGAAAAGATTCCATTTAACAAAAAACCTCCCTCAATACTGTTTTTGCTATGTTAATTTTTAGTCCTTGTTTGCCGATATCGAAAATACAGTGTTCCCCGAAAATGGGATCAGCACCACTCTTTACTGCACAGGACAATTTTTTTAACATATGGAGGCGTTTTTGAGACAAAAAATTAGAGTAATATTTTGAGAAAATTGTATTTAAATTTTTTAATTGTTTATGATTTTCGCAAAACTACACATATTTTCAAAAAATTGAACCTGGCCTTATTTGTAGATCTGTTTTGGATGAATAGATTTTATTAAGAAAATGTGTCATCATTATTGTAGTTGTAGGAAGACGCCGAATGAAGTTTGCACTTTTGCACTTTGCGAAAATTGAAGGAGTTAAATGAAAATGTTTCATACGCCATTTCGTTAGGCATCTGTTACTCTATAAGAGTAAAATTTTAAAGAAAAAACTTGTAGCCATTTTTGAGAAACTTTTGCTGAGGCTTCATGCAGGCGCGGATCCACGCCCACGGAGGGGGACGAGAGAAAAACTTTTCAGTAAGTATTAATTTTAACTTGCCACGAAACTACCAAGCCAGAATATTGTCGTATACACATTAAAACAAATATTTTTTTTTTTGTTATTTAAGGTCGCATCAACTATTAGGTCATTAGCGACCACTATTGCTTGTAACGGTATGGTAACTGTGGGTTGACACGATAATGATGATGATAGGGGGTGAAAGGACGAAACACTATTCAACCATGCCCGAGGCGGGACTCGAACCCGCGATCCTTCGGTCCGAGTTCGCTACGGCACTACTGCTTTAGCGATCTCGGCCACCGGATCGGCCGAATAAAATTGTATGGCAACCTGATCTAAGTTTAGCTTGCGTCATTCTACATCATCTGTAATATGACACACATTCAACCAAAACATTTTGAATTAAAAAAATCCTCTCCCAAAATTCGTCTCTGTATCCGCCCCGGCTTCATTGAAAGTAACCCCACAAATCAAAATCGAGTTCGTTGTGATTGATCGAGGAATGTCAGTGTTCGAGAAAATCGTCTGAACGATTTAAGCGCTAACGATGACCACAGACGGACAGACATGTTTTCCCATCAATAGATTTTTCGGTATTAAAGAGCCACAAAACGTGGATTATGACTGCACAAAGATTTTGAAGTAATTTACTACATATAGGAACAAGATACATCAAAGTTTTATTTACTAGGAGCCGGTAATTAGAGTTTCCCCGTCGAAGAATCGCTGTTTTTCCCGTAGCATGACGATGCTTTCTCCATACTACTTAAGCACGTCTGGCGCACATCTAATTTTCGCGGGATGGAAACAATGGGAGAGATATTAGCGGTTTAAGCGTCGGCAAAAATGAGTACGGCCGAGGGACTACGTAGTGTACTGGTAAAAGGTGGCTGGATGCGAGTCTCGGAGAGGCGAAAAATGTAATAGTGAGGAGGCGTTGCAAATAACGCGAGAACGTATGTACTGTTATAGCAATACTAGTATTAAAATGTCTTACACGCAATACTGTAAATGTCCGATACTCGTTTTTTTTTTTTGAGCCTGTACCTGTAGATAGAACATAATCGAAAATCCATAAAGTACAATTTTGAAGTGCTTCTTACTATTAGAACACGAGTTAGAAGAGTGAAATTGTTTCGTATGGCCACCATTGGTGGTCAGGCGGGCAGTGGGGTGGGTGGCCGGGGGGTGGGGGCCGCGAGGGGGCGCATCTCCTGAGGCGCAAGGTGGGTCAGTTTGACAGAATCTCTGTTAAAAAGATCTTCGAACGGGTGAATTAACCTTGTGACAGATACTGATGTATT